AGTTCAATTGAATGAGCTTATATAGAAATCCTATTACCTTTTAAATATATTTTCATTTTTAAATTTGATTGTTAATTTAAGTTAAAGATAATAATGATTAATATTATTGGTTAGCCTTTTTTTCTACAAAAAGAAATTAAAAAAAATTTAAATCAATATTTAATTCTAGATTGATTTAGTTATTTTATGATTAAATAATCTCCTTTTCTCTATAGACTTTTCCAAACTATGAAAATTACGACCGAAGAATTAAAACTTTGGATTGTTGGCTCGTTAAATCTAGAAATATCTAGCAAAGTCAGCTCGAAAACATTAGGGGCATTAAAATCGACGGTCGTTAGCTACAAAAGCTGTTCGTTCAACGAGTTAAATTATCGTTGCTTTTGTATAAATGAAGTGAATGAGTTTCTTTAAAGTACTGCCGCCATAATATTATTTAAACATAAAACAAAGCTTTTGTCGAGATTATCAACAAAAACTGCATTTCAGGTATACACTTAAACTCGCATTTGTTATTTTATGTACTTGTATGAAAAATAAAGCAAAATATTTGGTACGATTATTGACTCTGGGTCCCTCAAAAGATTTTAAGAAAATTTTCTTTACTAAAACCTGTTCCTGTATATCGGTGAAACCTTAAAACATTTCCTGCTTGGGCTGCACAAATGCACAAAATATTGGTTTTATTGTACGTTTATGATCCTTTATAAAAAGAAGCTCCTCAATTGAATCCTTCTAAGCCACAAGGTGTTGCAAATATTATGATCGAAATTGAAGGAAGAATTGCACATTGTTCTCTACCTGTTATTCTTAGAAAACTTGTTTGCTGGGAAATTGGAAAGAAGTGGTTCTTTTGTAGTGCTTCGGTCGGTTTCAATGGCACGACTGCCCCATCAGGCCGCCCACTTGCACTTTTCAGCCGATGCTCAAACACTGTTGTCAAGCAATTTAGCTCACTTCGCAGAAGGTTAGAGGCAACTGACTCTTTGGGCAGCTCTTCGCCTTATCGCCCGCCGCCAGTTCGTTTGTGCGGGCCTCAGTCTGAGGTTGCACTCGCCTCAATGCACAATTTGCATGCATGTCACGTTCCCGCAACGATGACGGCTTCGTCACCTGGCCCAACGCACAGTCCGACAAGAATTTGTACACTTCAGGCAGGAATACAAAATACAATACAAAAAACAAGTCACACATACGGTGCAGAGTGGATAACCCGAAATGCAAATACCCTTTTCAAAGGGATTTCTGACTAACGCGTAAAAATCACATGTCATTACCATATTTTACGCAAAAAATAAAGTTGTTCCCCTTTTCAGAATTATTATCAGCTTTTTACTCATTAAATAATATTAACACGAGTCATAACTATTTCATAATTATAATATGACTTGTCCCTTGTTCATAATTCCAAGTGCTTTTTTTTATCATATGCCAACAAAAACGTGAGTTTGAGAAATTTTTAAAGTTGAGTCAAAATATAATTATAAATTTAAATATTTGAAAGTTCACTTTTACAATACAACTTTGAGGAATTTATTCACCATTTATTATTATAAAATATTATAAACTCATCGTTGCAGTCACATTCTTATTCGTTGTTGTTTTGTTTTAGTATTCTATTTCTACAAATCGTGAGCAAAATATTTAAACCGCTCAAAATAAAAATTGGAAACGAAAATGTGGGAAGTCAATTAAAAATCTTTGGCCATGTTTTTGTCTGTGTGCTAAGTTAATTGAATTCACGACTGGCGCCATGATTTACGATTTATAAGAATGCCATAATCGAAAATATATATTTGAAAAATTTTCTAGCCTCGATATTGAAAATTGCGTTGGTCCGAATGAATGGTGTATTATTATCTAAAAACCTGTTGCCAAAGCAGCAGTGGGTGCAAAAGCATAATAGTAAGCATAATGGTGCAATTACATTATGCCATACAAACCGAACGATCATTAGTAACATACATATAACAAAGTTGATAGGATTCACTGTGGAAAATTTGAAGACATGTTTGGATTTGAAATATGAAGATAGCAAAAATACTCGATTCTTAATCATCTAAAGAAAGTAAATACAACTATAATCTAATCACTGATCTGTTTTAAAAATGTTACCTGCATTTTTTGTTTACATTTTTTACAAAACAATGACAAACTCAAAATATATAGATTTTAAATTGCATAGATATAAGTAAATAAATTTCTATAATTAACAACTATTTTAAGTTGAGCGTTATGAATGGTAAATAAATTTAGTAAATATATTTCGAAATTTGTCTGAAATGAACAACATGTTAAGAAAGGTGTTATGAATGAAGACAGTTTCAAAACTAAAGAATCTTCTTTAGTATTTACTAAACGGTTCAGAAAGTCTTTTGTTTTTGATTTTTTTTCAGTGGGGGCGAACTGCATGTAATGCTGTGTAGTTGTTGTCGGCTGTGAACAACGCGGCTTTGTATAAATTGGCAGTGCGTACCGAAGCAACAACAAGAGCTGCTACATCTGCGAGACTGTGGTCACAGTTCATTGAACCGTTAGAACACACTTTGCCTTGCCACAGAGATGCTGCAGAAGATGCACCCGATGGATATGGATATGGATGGAGCAGCCCATGTGCCTGTGCGTTGCACAGAAAAAATATTGCACGCTCTATGCACATCCATTGATCATCCATATAATTAACAAAATAAAACAACCTTTATTTTTGTTATGTAGTAAATATTGTTTGGCATTATATTTTTGTATATCTTTAAGAGTGTATAAAAAAGTACGACAGAAATTATCCATGCATAAATATAGCTTATGAGCAACGCTAACCAGCGTCTATCAATAATTTAAAAATATGTCAAAAATTGCTGACTTATGCAGAGTGTTGACATATACGTATTATTCTAAACAAGAAAAGATGCCAACTTTACCATATCGAAATAAATATACCCTTGCACTTGAAACAAACTGGTAAGTAAATATACTTGTTCGTTCACTGCGTTTCTAAGATAGCATTGGGACTTTTACATTAATAGTTATGTTAAAAAAAATTGAAATCAAATTTTGTACGATTTTGAAAGATACATTTACTGACTACCTCATTTTTGTTTAAGCTGCAAAATTATTTACCTTCCTCGTTTATTTATGATTATTATTTATTTTGCTTGTTATTGAGCTTGTTTTTCACTGTGTGCTTAAAGATGGCAACGATGCTGTGGTGTTGTGGGACTCTGGTGGTTCAGACAGACACTCCAGAGCGTGTCAACAGTGGCACCACCGAGCCAGAAAAGCGATGCTCTTCAGTGGTTTCAAAGGCGATGGTGGTGCTGCGCGAGAATGATCTGAAAGCGTTGAGAATTGAAAATGCTGCTTGCCCTGCCCAACTATAATTTTATAGCATACACTTGGGTTGCCTTAAAATATTGCGAATTTAGAGTAGAAAAGATTTTATATTAAAAAAAGGAAGTATATTTATAAAAATATAAATAATAAAATATATCATAAATATAATTGCCAAATTTTAGAATTATTTAGCAGATAAATAACGACAAATGTGTCTTATCTTAAATGTGATTTTTGTAAATTGTTTATTTTTCCTTATAAAAATTCCTTACTGCGTTTGCAATCTACATTTTCTTTTGTAGCGAAATCTGATACCAAGGACAAGTCGAATCGGACTTTGTGTTGGGAGGAGTGTTTTGCCTTTGTGGCGCTTGTAATAACAAGATAATCCCTGAATGAAGAAAGGTCATCAGACGCACATGTTAGACCCTCAATCTCTGCGAAGACAACAACCCACTTGACCCATATCCTTGAACTCTAAAGTAAAACGCGCTTTCGGCGACCTTTTTGTGCAAAAAAATAAATAAAATATTTATGATATTGTGCACAGCGAAATCTACGGAGGGAACGAGCACAGCCCAGAAAGTGCATGTGAAGAGGCTAGAGCGCGTGCATTGTTCGTGAGAATATTGTTTTTAGCGACATCGAAGGCCAAGAAGGGCAATGCACCAAGTGTTATTACCAATACACGATGTGCGATAGACGACGCAGGCACATCAAAGCCCAAAAAGACTGGAGGAATGGCGGAAAGGGAATCTTCTTCCCCAGGGAGATCATCGTCATGGAACCGTGAAGACCATTTATAAATAGCAAAAATAAACGAATCTCATGATTTTACGGAGGCTTGTCGCATGTCTCACTGCCTTGTGGAGGTTGAAAACAAAAATAAAAAAAATACAAATAAATTAAAACAAAAATCTGCGGGTAGAACAGAAAAAACATGTGCCAGCTGCGCCACACAAGTTTCATGAACTATTGCCAATGATATTTCGGCTTAAAGCACTAATAAATATTAGGTTTATATATACTTATTGAGTGCTATTATGGTTTGTACAAAAATGAATTCCATGATCGAAATAGCCCTACTGATAAGTTAAGCTAATTTACAATGCTCAAGATAATGATCAACTTTAATGAACAATAAAAAACTAATAATTTGACATTAATCGTTACTACTTACTATATTTCTCTAATCTCCACTATCACTGATTAAATACAAAGTCTAAACTCATTTATGGTTTCAAAATCTAAAATTTGATTGGTTATTTAGCTTATTCATTTAGCGACTATGCAAAGTATAAATATGTTTAAGTACTCTCTTTCTTGATATTAAGGGATACTGAACCACTGGCTAAGCCAAACAATTTAAAGTTATCATTAAATGTTTTTACCAAAATACTACTCTGGTTTTATACATATAGAAAATTATATATATTTCCCATTTCGGTAGTTTTATTTTAGTAATTATTATTTTATATATTTTTTTTTATGTTATTTTAGTTTATTATACTAGAAAAAATATCGAAAATATCAAAATATCGGATATCTATGCTTTGATTTTATTTTATTGTTCAAAGTTGAGATGTGAAATGTATCTTACAGATTTGGTCCAGAACTATCTTATTTTTTGGCCTGTGTATATACATATGTATTTTACATGGATAACTTACCCAAAAAGCAACAACGATTGCGTTGCAAGTTGACTTTTTTGGTTCCTTGTTCTGTATCTGTTGTTGTTGTTATCGTTGTTGTTGCAGGTTCAAGATGCATAGATGTCTGAAGAAGAAAAGAGCGAGACAGTGGGAGAGGTTGAGAGGAGAGCGAAAGAGAGAGCAAGAGAGCCCTAATTGAATGTTTGGCTTTTAATTAAACAAGAATTGTAGGCGGAGGGCGTGACAACCGCTTCACTGTGTCTTTTTTTTCACTTTCTGTTGGTTCTCTTCGTTCTCATATCTTTTTTAACCTCTCCCCCTCCTTCTCTTCTACTTTTTGGTTATCTAATCCGAGGGTTTGACCCTTAAAACAGGTGACATTTTCGACTTGAGGAAGTGCTTCCGTTCCTCTTGTTGTTGTTATTTTTGGCGTTGTTGCTGCTGCTGCTTCTGCCAATACCGTTATTGATTTTTTGCGGCAGCTTGTTGTTGTTCCTGCCCTTAAGCTTAAAAAAGGCGTGTGGCAAAGAAAGAGGGAGAGGGAAAAGCCAATAGCAAAGCACCGCCTAAGCGCATCACACAGACATGGGATGAAGAGAGGAAAAGAGGAGCAGAGTAGGAGAGGAGGAGGGGAGCAGAGGAGAAGGAGACAAGAAAAGAGAGGCCAAAGCAAAACGAGTTAAGACGCAAAGACAATGCAGATAAAGTCAGCGACAACAAACACGGCCAAGAACAACAACAACAGCCGCAGTCGCCGCGGCACGCTCTTCTTCTTCTTTGGCTACCACCAAATGCATTTATTTTTTTTATTTTTTTTTTTTTGGGAAAAACTTGGATCTTTACTTTTTAGACCAGCTGCGGATTTAGTTTTCGTTTAAAATACGATTGCTGTTTCACCTCTTAAATGCGCGCGCGCATTTTCCCCGACAAAAAGAAAACAAACGGCCGAGACACACAATTAAAGCTTTGTTAAACTACAAAAAAAATAACAAACTGGGCGGCACACCGAAAAAAAATATTAAAAACGTCGCGTTATTTAACGGCTTTGCCTTCCGACGGTTTCTTCCGCTTGCTCGGTTTGTTTGGTTCGGCTCGTTCGGTTTGTTTGGCCTGTTTGGATTAGTCTGACCAAAAAAGCGTTGCAGCCGAAAGCGTCGACACGAGACGATACTGGGGGTGGGAGACCGTCGATTGAAGTTGGCGAACCATCGATGCTTGTAACGATATTTTCGAAAATATCGGAGATATCGATGTTTGGCCGGGGACAATCTATGTTATACCATCTCTTCGTTTAGTTCTTACGCACTGTCAATTTTTTCAGTTAGAGAGCACTATTTATTGCATACAAAATGCACTTTGATCAAAGCACTTAAAAAATGGTTTATTATCTGTCGAAATATATAAAGTATAATTTAAGGAAGTTTGAAAAAATTCAAATACATATTTGTATTACTCTACTGCCTTAGCACCCCCAAACGAACGTTTATAGTGAATAAAAAAAACTCCTTCTTTTTCTCACTTGATTCAATTACAAGAACAATTCCATTAGAGCTGTAGAAAACTCGATGCTTATGTCTTGTTAACATTCTTTTAAACATTGATAAGACATCGATGTTTTCCGCCATAGTCATAAAAACATCGATGTCCGTAAAAATCAATCTACCATCGATATCAACGATGTTTTTAGAACATCCGTACTATCGATATTTGGCCGGTCACTATCGTTCTTTTTTCACCTCTAACAAATGGTGGTTGTACTCGGTAGCTGCGGAGCAAGTCCCCACTACCCGTGGAGTGAGTATTGGAAACGTTATTGTCAGCGCTAAGTAAGTATCGGTAAGTATCTCTGCTAACGATGCTAACATGCAAGTTTTTCCATCTCTAACAAGTATTAAAAAAAAATGTTATTTGAACGTTAAAAAATGGGCTCACCAAAAAATCTCACTACAGTCATTACGCACTTTAAACGCAATACAAAATTCAATTTAATCATAGCACTGTGATAAATGTTTACCAATCTAAATTAAGAAAATTTAACAAATCTAAAAATGTATTTATTTGTGATATAATGTCGGGGTTTCTCCATTTGAATATCTCAAATATACTAAACGATTGTGGTGAACTATCAGTTTTAAATAAAAAGTTTTTCAGCAAAAGAGCATAATATTTCATTTGAAAGGAAAATAATTTATATTTCTCATTATACAAAAAAACCTTGAGGTTTTGATAATTACGACGGATGTGACACAAAACTGCAATTCTTGAGCACATTGTCGGATCCCGATTTATTTATTAATTTAATTATTATCCAGCACCTTCCCACATTTGAAATAAAATACTCAGTTTTGTATAATACACTTCGTATAATTTGTATGCAGGTATTATTAAATATATGCAAGTATTTAACACTCGGTGGCATTCGCAGAAGAAGAATGTGGGGTTCGGTGGCGATTTGCAAGCCGTTCATTTTAAAATTGATTCCATAAACTATCATTAGTACAGTGATTCCTCGCACCTCACCCTCCATTCTATTTCTGCGATCGCCACATTTACCATATTTGTACAATCGTATGTATTTTGTGGGTTTTGCTTTGTAAATCTTTTGCTGAATGTTTAGCTCGTACACACTAAAACTATTAAACTGATTTCGTTTGTTGACTAGCAGTTAGTTATTTGCTTTTTGTAAACAGCATAAAATGTAACGCTCTTATTTATATGCCTCTAAATGAACTAAATTATTGCACATTGTATTTAGGATTAGAACATAGTGTGCCACACACCCGATGGTGTGGTTTCTAAAAGATTCCTGCGGGCTGATCCCTCTGGATTGATGTCTCGAATGATATGTACGCTACGCTTTTGACTAATTGGATTTGGGGTCTAAGATCGCTGCCCGAATACTCATGGAGTAAAATTTTGCCATAATTCATATTAATAAGTAGTTGCAGTGATGGGAGCTGCCTATATGTAGGTACTTTTCACCGCACCTAACTACAATAAACTTGCATTCGTTATTAAGGTAAGAAATTTGATCAATAAGGTAATATTTTTTAAATAATAATAACTACAATTCGTTATTAAGGTAAGAGATTTGATCAATATGGTAATGCTTGTTAAATAATAATAATAATATCTGGGTAATGTCAACATTATTTCGAATCCGAAAAGTACATTTCCCATCACTGCATTTAATTACACCGTGTTACACCAAAAATGTACATTAATGAGGGTATACTTTTCTAAAAGAAATCGCTGTCATGAATTGAATAAAATTCTTATAATTGTAAATTTGATTACAAATCGGAATACTTTCACTTTGCAATATTGTTTAAAAATATAAAGTGAAGGAATTTCAAAAACACAAATCCATTCGCCTCTTAATGAGGTTACAAAATGATCAAAATTTAAATTTTTTCAACTTTTTTCTCATTACATACGGAATATGCTCAATCTTTTAGAAAAGTATCTTTTCATTAATGTTAACAATATAAAGGTCAAATTTTTTAACACAGTGTTTAATGTGTTTTTGTGTGAGAGAGTTTTGGTGTTTGTGATTTGCTAATTATAAATAGGTTTTTCGCTGTCGTTTCAAAACAGCAATGCTCCAACCACATTGAGAGCCTGATGGTGTTGTTGCTTTTGTTGTTGTTGCTGCTGCTGCTGTTGTTGTTGTTGTGGGTGTGTGTGTGTGTGGAACATGCTTGGTGTGGTTGTTGGCGATTTAAGTTCCTCCACTATAATGGCACCGTTCTCGTCCACCGTGTGATTTAAAAGTAAATTCTCAACCTGCTCATCGGATAGTAACTCTTTTGGCTCTGAAGATCTGCAAAGTTAGGTTTTAAAATATTTAAATATAGTTGCTTTGGTATGTGGAAGCTGATAAAACACACAACTGAGACTCGACAGAGATTGGGAGATGATCATATTGGAGGGACAGGAAAGGGAAACAAATACAAGGACTAGCACGTACAAACAATACAGTCGAGATTGCCGACTAAATAATACCCGGTACTCCTATATTTACAGTGGCTAACAAATAACTTTTAAAAAGATTCATATTCATATATGTATAACTTCACTGGCATTTTCTATTTTACACTGCTTGTTGGTGATTACTAACAAACCATTTTGAAAATATAAACTTTATGACACAGACATGAATTCAAAACTTTTGTTTTTAAAAGATCAATCCTGGAACCTCAGGAAGGTGATTCTTTTTTTTAGTAGTTACCTAAACCTTACAATGTTTTATTTAGCTAAAGTTTTTAGATATTGCTTATATATTTAAAAATATATAAATCCTATACCTGTACTTTTACTTTCGAATAAATTGTAAGAAACTAAACTCTGTTGAGAAAACTGATGAAAATATGCGGCTTAAAACTACTACTATTAGTTTAGCATGAGGACGAGAAAATGGACCTTAATCATAAAACTTTCTAGTAAATTTAATTCACTTGAAAGGGTATCGAAATTTCCTAATGGCTAGATTTATGCGAAAGTTTAATGGTGATATCTTAAAGATACCTTTTCAGATTTGAAAACTAGAGTACTGGGTATTCAAAACAGGCACATTCAATTAGACAGAGACTGTGAGTTATGGCTTAGAGGGAGATGGCAATGGTGTGATACCAATTAAAGGCGGTTAAAATGCGAGAAAAGTAACATTTAAAGCTAAAAAACGGAGTTGAAACAAACACAACAGATATTTCTCGATTTTGGTTAATGCGTTTTTGAGCAGTACATACAGAATATTTTTTTGTGGTTAAAGCGAGTGTGCATTCGTGCTGTTGTTGTTGTTGTTGTTCTTGTTGTTGCTGTTGTTGTTTTAGCTGATATTATTATTATTGTTGTTGATGTTGTAGTTGTTGTTGTTGCAGTTAGTGGTGATATATATATAAAATTTGAAAGAATCAAAGTAGCAAAAGCAGAGACCAAATGAAAGCAGCCAATTTCGTATTAGAATTATCAATTATTAAATTTTGCAGTAGTTCTTGTAGTTTGGTTGTTGCTAAGATGGGTGCAAAAATTGCGCTGATCATCGCTAGTTAGTTGGGGTTTAGTATACGTGGCAATGATTAATCAATTTCGATATCAAATTCGGTTTCAAATTCGGATTCAAATTCGTATTCAAATGAGCTTGGTGAGGCGGCTCTGCAGCGAGTTGAGCAGACTGCGACCGCCACTTTTCGGCCCATGACCACCGTCTACTGACCTGCTGAAGAGGAAAAAGTCACCGGCACCGCCTCCAGAGCTGGAACCCGAGCCGGAGCCACTGCATCCGCCGGCTGATCCGCCACTGGCGCCGCTGGCCACTGCCACTGCATCCGCCGTGCCGCCCAGGAGCGCCTCCCCCTCGGCACCGCTTTCGCCGCCCATCTCCGACTCGCTGTTGCGCCGCTCCAGGCTGCGACCCACCTTCTGGAAGCCGTAGCTGAACACGTCCTTCACCTTGTCCCCGGCATCGATCAGCAGGTCCAGGCTCTGCCGCCGCCCGCTGCCCTTGAAGCTGTTGGAGCGGGACAGCCACTGGCTGAGGCTCTGCTTCCGGCTCATCTGCTGGCCACCAACGCCGCCACTGGACGCACTGCTGTCGTCCTGGAATATGGTCGTGCAGGTCACCTTGCGCTTCGGTTCGTCCGACGACGAGGTCGAGTGCTGCGACTGGGCATCCGCGTCCAGATGATTCCTGCCCAGGCCCAGGCCTCCGCCCGCGATGCCGCCCGAACCCTCCAGTCCGTGCTGGTCGAGCAGCGACTGGTTGGAGTAGCTGGAGCTGGTGCTGTCCGAGTGCGACAGCCGTATCTCCGTCCACTGCTCAATGTCGTTGTCCGCCGGAGCGCCCGTGGTCGAGGCGTTGGCGGAGGCTGAGGCGCTGGCCGATGCGGATCCCGAGGCCAGGGAGCCGCTGCCCGACTTCACCTCGTAGGGGGCGTGCAGGCCCAGCGGACCCAGACCGCCCTCCCCGTCCGCCGCACTCGTGCTGGCCGACTTGTGCATACCGCCGGCCAGCTTTTGGGGGAAGGTGAGCACCGCCTCGAAGTCCGTCAGCAGGTGGGGGCACTCGTGGCCCAGGCGCTCCGGCATCCGCAGGTACTCCTCCTCCTCCACCGCCTCCGCCTCCGCATCCTCCTCAGGCTGGCCTTGCGTGGCCGACGCCAGCGTGTCCACCGCATCCAGGTCCACCTGGCGCAGCATGGCCTCGTAGTTGAGCAGGTTGTTGCGCTGCTGGCGCTGCCGGTGAATGTCCTCGGATATCTGCTCCAGGTTCTTCAGCGCCTCGTTGTAGGTGAGCTTCGCCGCACTGACCTTCGCCTCCAGCTCGTTCACCCGCGTCTTCTGGGCCTTCAGCAGTCCGTTGTAGTTCGCCCGCGTCTCGTAGTACGGCCTGCGGTGCGAGGGATTCCACGGGATTAGTGGCGATGCGTGGGCCTGGCCAGAGGGGCGATACTCACGAACAGAGGGTACAATACAAAGCGTGCATAATGCTAAAATATCTCAACAAAAGTAAATTGCGCTTGAGCTGCAATCTAAAAGAAGGGAAAAGAACGGAAGAGAGAGCAGTCCGCGGGGAAAGTACGGATCCGAAAATAAAATAAAAAGTATAAACAAATTGGAATCAGAATCAAATAAATAAAAGAAAAACTTAAAAACCGAAAGTTTTAAATCAATAAAAAGCATAACTTCGACAAAGAGCCGAAGTTTGAAATTCCAATAGGTGTTATTTTCATACCGGAAGTTCAAATGTTTCAATTATACATAATTCATACGTCTGTTATTCCTAATTTATAGAAGTCTTTTTTTCTTTTGTTTATAAAGATATTGCTGTTTTGTTTCCAATAAAAAAAAGGTAAACAAAATGTAATGTAATATTGACTATTTTATAGATTTTATATAGATAGATTTATCCTATTGAACCTTTAATTTGAAGAAGCATATAATTTATAAAATATACAAAATATTAATACTCAAATGTCATAAATTATACAACGATACTAACGAAACTATTGAACTTGATATTAAAATACAAAAGTAATAAATAATATATAAATGCCCTACGTTTAGTTCATTATGCCACCATCTTATGTGATTTATGCATTATAGAAATATCAAGAAAATCAGTACATTTGGTTTGTACTTCAACCGAAATCGAATCGATATGGACATATAATTTAAAGGGTTTTTGTTCGTTTGAAGTTAATTTTCTCAGACGAAAGGCAATAAAGTTTAAATCGATTGGTCAGAGTTGAAGAGTTTTCTGGGGCACCTAGATATGGATCTGTTGCACCCTTGAAAATTGCATGCATATATCTACATATGCTGAGTTGCCAAGTGAGATTTGATATTAGGCTGCTTCATGTTTACCCCCCATACCAAACTATGTAGTTGGGTTAGGAACTCTGGTGACTTTACCTGGAGGCCCTTAGCGCCTGCTTGAGCTGCCCCTGCAGCTTGCCGACCCGGTTGTTGGCCACCTCCAGCTTCAGCTGGCACATCTTGAGGGCGTTGCGGGTGTCGGTGACCTCCAGCTGGGACTGGTTGACCTTGCCGGCGGCGTGGCTGAGCATCTCCTGGCAGGCGGTGTCCAGCGTGGACTTCTCGCCCAGTCCCTGCTCGGCCAGATAGACCATCTCCTTGGCGGCCGCGTGAATGGACTTGGCCTTTTCATGGCTGGCCGCCGCCGTCTGCGTCTCCTTGGCCAACTGGGCGGCATAGATGCGCGACTCGTAGTAGGGTTTGGCCGCATCTATGGAGTTGCCCAGCTTGTGGGCGGCCGCCTTGATCCGCACCACGCTCTCGGCCAGCAGGCGCTTGAACTCGCACTTGGATTCCTTCAATTGTATTGCGAAATAAGTGGTGTGAGTGGACTGGGGGGGAAAAATCAATACTCACATCGAGCTCCACCTCGTAGCGATTGATGTTGTCCGTGGCGGTGTTTAGCTTCTCCAGCTCGACCTGTGCGACGACCGGAGATTAGTGGGGATCTCATGGGTAACCAGGGCGTGGGAATGCAAAATAAATACCCACCTGCACCCGCGGATCCACGGGCGTGTTGCTCTCCGTTGACATGGCTGCCACTTCTGAGGGGGCTCACGCACTGATTTCACACCGGAGCTGGGGCAGCGGACGCAGTGCAGCACACGGACAGCGGGTTCGGAACTGGAGCGGGAGTGGGTCACTTGCTGCTGCTGCCAATTTGATTCATTTCATTCTTTAATTAACTTCATTTTTTTGCGCACTAAAAAGCTCTGTCAGCTGTGAAAATGTATCGACTTATCGATTTTATTTAACATTCGGTCAACAGTTTCGTTAAGACTGAGGTTAGCAATTACTTACTCCGCATTTATCCAGTACAGGCACCAGTTTATTTGCTTTTTTGTGATGGCAGAACATGGATGATGCCCTGCCAATCGTTTTGAAAATATCACTTGCTGCTGCTGCCAATTTGATTCATTTCATTCTTTAATTAACTTCATTTTTTTTGACAGCTAACAGCTCTGTCAGATGAAAAAATGTATCGACCTATCGATTTATTTAACAGTCAGTCAACAGTTTCGTTAAGTTTCAATGGTTGAGCGGGGACTCACCCCACGTTTAGCGAGTACATATACCATTAGTGATGGCATAACCTCGATGATGTCCAGCTAATCGTTTTGAAAACATCAACAACATCGAAGTTTTGCCACCACTAATAGTTTGTTCCAATTTTTTTGCGAAGCAAGTTGTGTTGATACCACATAAATAAACCCATCCTAGTGCAGATGCAGGCTCGCAGCAAGTCCGAGATGAAGCCCATACGGAAGGAGATCCTCAATCCGGGCAACGCCTACATCGAGCTTACCCCGGGCACCAGGGTGAGTCGCTAAATCCGCGGTATTGTTGCAGGAGCAGGGATTGTCCAATTGGGAAATTCAGAAATTGAGAAATTGGGCCAAGGCCATTCAAGTGGGCGTTCGCCGTTGGGTGGTTCACACATTCTCATCCCCATCCCCATGGCCTGCATTCCAGGTTAAGTTCCACTTCCAGACGCGCAGGGCTGGCGAGAGCCGCATCATCGACGACAGCCGCAAGATGGAAAAGCCCATGGAACTCGTCCTGGGCAAGAAGTTCAAGCTGGAGGTCTGGGAGCTGATTGTGCAGCAGATGTCGCTCAACGAGGTGGCCAAGTTCACGGTGCACAAGTCGGTAAGTGTGTGAAAGGCGGACCTCTGCCCGATCCCATCTGACCTAATTTACCATACTCCTGCGCCCGCAGCTCTGCGCCCAGTACCCATTCATCTCGAAGACGCTGCGGGACATTGGCAAGAAGCCCGAGGAGCGACGCCACTGCTGCGGGATGACGCTGCAGAACGAGGGCATTGGGTACACCGACCTGGACGAGCTGCTGCAGCATCCCGCCGAGCTGGAGTTCATCATCGAGCTGATCTCCATCGAGCTGCCCGAGCAGTACGAGAAGGAGCGCTGGCAGATGTCCGACGACGAGAAGATGCTGGCCACCAGCACGCTGCGCGAGCGGGGCAACAACTTCTACAAGGCGAGCAGGTTCTCGGAGGCGGAGACCTGCTACCGGGAGGCGGTGGGCATTGTGGAGCAGCTGATGCTGAAGGAGAAGCCCCACGACGAGGAGTGGCAGGAGCTGGCGGCCATCAAGACGCCGCTGCTGCTCAACTATGCGCAGTGTCGCCTGATCGCCGGCGATTTTTATGCAGTGATCGAGCATTGCAACGAGGTGCTCACCCTGGATCCGCGCAACGTGAAGGCACTGTTCCGGCGGGCCAAGGCCCATGCCGGCGCCTGGAATCCGATGCAGGCGCGGCGAGACTTCCTCGACGCCCTGGCCCTGGATGCCAGCCTCAAGACGACCGTGTCCAAGGAGCTGAAGTCCATCGAGGATCAGCAGCAAGCCCGTAACGTCCAAGACCGCATTCACATGCAGAAGCTGTTCTAGAACATAAGTTGCGTCAACGTGCTGCTCATGCTGCTTGTCTATTGGAGCAGCTACCTGCAGCGCTAGCAGTACCTGTCCCTTCCCCCAATCCTCTCGCTGGCCGTCACCTTTGCGCACGGCCTTGTGCTGCTCTGCTCGCTGGCCAACTTGTTCCTCTGCTGCTGGACCCTCAAGAAGCTGCTGCGGGCCCTGCAGCGGGCTAAGCCGGCTGGTGGGGCGCAACACAATCAACCCAGGTACCATCTCGTTCTGTGAGAGCTGCATTTCGGAGCACCATGCCCCATACTCATCCTCCGCCCCGGATCGTTCGCGGGACTAGACAACGTGTAATGTTCTATCGCCAGATGCATGGGTGCATCTGGAATATGTGATGTATGTTGTCACGTAGCGTTTACCAAAACATGAATCAAATGTTCCACATTTGTTGTCCATAGTCGTATGTATGTATGTATGTATCTACTATGTATCTCTATATGCGATATGTACTCGTAGCTAGAATCTACTCTAAATCTAGACAAATTGTATAATTGTAATAAATGTGCTTTTGATGCTGTCTAATTGTTAAACGTAGTTGGAGACTTTGTTGTATTTACATTATGCGGTAAGCATGCGTAATAATATGCATTAGCATAAGATATTGAATTGTGTAGGGTGCTAACACTACTAGTATAATTTGTATAAAATAAATAACCGTATATCTATACGCTTTAGTTGGACAAAACCATTGCGAAGCATTTGCATTTCACAAGTCTGCATTTTTATAAAGGCTTATCTTGTTTATGGGTTTTTAAAGATAATAATAATGAGTTCATATATGGTTTTGTGGTTTGTGGTTAACTGCCAAGTAAACAAGCTCTGACCGAAATAAAATAATGACATTTACGAAGAATTATATGAAATACTTTCAAATATAAACTGATATATGAATTTCTTGAATTTAACTAGTTTTTACGCCCTTTTATTGAGGGTTTTAAAAATTAAGCATATAAAGTATATATTTAATTTCCAACTGTATAAATTATATCCTTTGATTATCCTTTTTTTTTATATATTTTGTGTAGGTTTTAAATGAACCACAATTTTTAAAAATGACACAAGAAGGAGTCTAGCGTGCTCCACCTTTAAAAAGTATTGTATGTCTTGGATTATTTAATTCTTACTAAAATGGATGTTATATTAAATCACTCCTTTTTTAGTTCTGATCTAAGAAATGGAACTCAAAGGAGGGGAAAGCGCTGTTTGATTTAAGCACAATGATTGAATTGTAGGTGAATGTTGACAATGCAAAGTTCGTACCATTCCGTATCCAATATTTATATTTTTTAGCTTCTATATGTTCCGAGATGTCGCCGTTAATCAAGTTTATCTAGATCGATATTGACGATCTTGTGCGGAAAAACTCAAACATCAACCTGATATTATTATTATTATTAATACAGACAGAAAAGAAGCTTAATTATTAAGTTCGATTTACTAATTAAAAATCACGATTAAGCGGCGTCGTTAACGAGTATTATACACAATAAATACATGAAGATTAAGAACTAAGAAAATCTTTGGAGACCAATCAGTAAATGGGGGGATCCGGATCCGGATTCGGATAAGGTTTTGGATCCTAGAGCCGCCACAGCCGGCTGCTGTTGCCCCCGGTGGCGCCCTCGGCCTCGCCGCGCAGCTTGTTGTCGTCGGTGCGCCAGACGAAGGGCTCCAGGCGGTCCTCGTCGTCCAGGAAGTTGTTGATCGCCTCCAAGCTGGCGATGTTCTCGTGCAGCAGCGAATTGCATCGGCTCAGCTGATGGGAGACGCTCCGGATCTTGGCGAACTGCTCGGCATACGAGGCGTACGTCTTCTGCATGTCCACGAATCCGGCGAACAGGGTGGTGATCGAGTTGCTCACCACCTTGGTGCGCTCCACCAGGTGGTTCTGCTCGCTGGCCACATAGCTGGCGCACAGATTGAGGTGCGTCTGCATGCGGGCACATATGTTGACCAGGTGCTGCGAGTGCAGCCGCTCCAGGATTTCCGCGTCGCGCGTATACGTGGCCGAGGTGATGGACTCCCGGAGCACCGGCAGGAACTGCGGTATGTTGCGCAGCCGGGCCAAGTCGGGGTCCACATCTTCGCCAGCATCGCTGGCCCCGGGACGCACGATCACAATGTTGTGACTGGAGGCCGTGGACTGCGGTCGCTTCGGCTTCACCGCACTGGTGATCCCTCCCGGATGGGACTTCCTGGCCGCCGCCCGGCTGGCGCTGCTCTGCTGCAGCATGTGCGCCGGCTTGCTGCGAATCTTGGGCGAGTCGCCGATGGGCCGGTCCGTGTAGGAGACGTACGGCAGGTCGGAGCACACGCTCAGCGGCGGCGAGGGCGGCCTGCTCAGCTCGGAGCCGCCGGGCGAGGCTGCCTCGGCGATGATCTGCTTGCTAGCTATTACAATGCTAGCGGGGCCGGGTACGCCGGGTGTTCCTCCAGGTCCCAGACCTGGGACACCTGCTCCTCCACCGCGATGGCCCACTCCGCGTCGCTTGTTGGCCGCCGCCGTGGCCGCCAGGATCATGGAGCTGCCATCGGCAAAGGATCCAGATCCCGATCCCGGTACCGCCGCCTGTCGCCCGTCGAAGATCTCGTGGCCATCGGCCTCCGCCCGCTGCTGCGAGTGCTCGGCGCCCATTTATCGATTGATTGGTCCGATTGGGGCGCCTCCTCCCCTCCGTGCGAATCCCGAGTACTCCTGGTGGGCAGTTGGCTGGAGACGTCACTGCTGCTGTGCTCGACACAGCTGCAGCCTCATTTTTCGGAATGTAAGCCTCGGATTCGAATATTCAATCGTTTATCAAATGCAAATCCAATTCTGCTAGGAAACAAATCGCAGCCAAATTCCAATAAGATCCTGAAAAATACCAAAGTGCAAGGGTAAAACGCATTAGTGCTTTTCTTGTCGTCAAAAAAAATACCGCTGGCTTGGTATTAAAAGAGCAAAGGTCGGCCGCAACGTTGGAAAATTTAATACTTAGGGGCTTTTTGCTTTTAAATATTTTAGCAATTACAAAAGCAAATTAAATAAATCTAAAAGACAAAAATTACATGATACAATTTTTGTATATATAATTTCGAATATATCTACAATATGGAGCCGCAATTTTATTCCTGACCCATACAAAAATCAGTTAAATTTGCGCTTCTAACCAAAATTAGAATATTCTCTGCAAGAGTACCAAAATAATTTTGTTTCTTATGTTAATCAGTTTTTTCAATCAAAATTGATCAAGTTATAAGCAAATTCCTCAGAGTATTTGAATTTCTAACATTTTGGAAAATTGTATCGGGTCATAATCATATTTTAATTGATTAAATTAACCTTTTACATTTTTGACCTTGTTAAAAATGCCCATGAGTAGATAGAACCAGTTGGGAATTATAGTTTCGATTTCGACTTTTCACTATTTGAAGTTATTAGGTTGAAGACGAGCATATTTTTAATGTCTACATAGAGAGAGCGTCATTGTAGGGTGATTATCTTTATTTTTGTATGGGTTTATTGTTTCATATCATCCAAATAATCCGATAGTCAATAAGCTAGATAAATTAAAAATGTTCCATACTCTCCCATAGTTTTTAAGTAGTTTTGATCACTGATTTTAGCAAAAAGCCTATGCGTATTATTTTAATATTTCGTTCTTGAGTAAGAAGCTTAATTTTAAGGCTATTCTCTGATGCTAGCCTCTGGGGCTTCTCTTTAGAAGCTTTACTGTATAGATAGAGAGTGATCCATAGAGGGGCAGATAAGCGATAAGTTCTCTCTAGCTTCCGTATGGGTTTCGTCAGTTTTGTTGTGGCTGTCGTTCTGGCTGGGATCTTTAACGCCTCGCGACTCTATTTGGGTGCTAATTCAGCAATAGATTTCGGTTTCGGTTTCAGTTTCAGTTTACATGTATTGTTTGCTACAGTAATATTCAGCACCTTTAGTTTGTCGATAGCCGTGATCGCGATAACAACACTTTCCCCCAGAAAAGAGAATTATAATGGTGAGCCAAGACAAAAGTGTTTTTTTTTTAAATCTTATCAAACTATTTTATCGGCCCTCACCTTAAATTATGGATTTTTATGCTCTGTTCGAGCAACATCAGTTTAAACTTGATAATTAAAATAACAAATGTACAAAGACATTTTTTTGGAAAGATATATTTGAAATCGAGATACATAGAAGCATTTGTTCTCAATGAATTTTAAAAGCAAGAACTCGTTGCCAAATTTTAAGCTTTAAAAATTGTCAAAAGCAAGTGTTTTTACAAAGTTCAAGATATTTTCGGAATCAAATTTTTAAATTGGTTAAAAAGTGATATATCATCCGACCAGGATTATAAAATGGTTGATAAATCAGATAGATATAAAAATAAAAGTACTTCACATAAAAAATAAACAAATTAAGGAAAATTAAAATTAAATAATTGACTATTATAATGAGATAATAAGACTATAAAAAAAAATACAAAATATAATATTACATTTTTTTTTTATTATATTTCCTAGGCCAAGCCGCAACACATCCTGCAGCTGAGTGAGGAGCAGCGGCGCAGCTTCGTCGACTCCTTCGACCGGGTGCTGAGCGACATCGACGGCGTCCTGTGGACCATGGAGCACGATGTGCCCCGGGTGGCGGAGGGATACTCCGCTCTGGAGCGGAGCGGCAAGCAGCTGACCTTCGTCACCAACAACAGTGTGCGGACGGTGGAGCAGTGCGTCCGGCGCTTCGCCAAGATCGGGATGCAGGTGAAGCCGGAGCAGATCTGGCATCCGGCGCAGTCCATCGTCAGCTATCTGCGGGGCATTAACTTCCAGGGCCTCATCTACATCATCGCCAGTCCGCCGTTCAAGGCGGTGCTCCGCGAGGCCGGATTCCAGCTCCTGGACGGGGTGAGTGTCATTAAAGACCCAAATTCTAAATTAAATATTAAGCAGTTAATCACTCAAAATGTCCCTGAGGAATCAGGAATTTTTCCAGGGTCTATGTGTTGAATACATTTCTATTTCTTAAAAAGAGTTTTTAGTCAAAAACAGAACAGTTGCCAAAAATACAAGTTTGCATGTCTAGTCTGTAACTTGATTTATTTCTATTTAAATGGGTTAATTATTTCACATTTATATACATTTTTGTTAAAATAAAAATAGTTAATATTAATTTTTAAAATTTACATAAATATGTAGCTTTCAAGTTATTTAGGAAAAACGAGTTAAATGTTTCAAGACTTCGAAACATATCTTAGACAACATTTTAGACCGTTAAGCTTCAAAAATGAGTGAAAATAATTATAAAAATTCAAAATTTAAATTTAGTGTAAACGTCTAACTTGCGCAAATAGGGACCAATAAAAGGTTAGTCATACAAATCGCTGAATTTATAATTATATCTTTATTTACACATTATTAGCTTGGTAAAATGATTATATTTAGTTATAATTTATATGCAACAGTCCCATAGTTATAGCTTCTATTTGAATTAAAAAGAAATAAGAATTAGTTTACACTTGATTGTATAAACATCAAGTAATAATTGTTACTTTTAAGGATTTTGCTCCTGATACGTTTGTGGCGTATACTCAAATATCATTGATACCATTGATTGAAAAAATAGCTAAAACTATTGTTTTTCTATATTAATCAATCTAAAATATTTGCTGCAGCCCAACGAGTTCATCGAGGAGAACTACGAGAGCCTGGCCAAGCACATCTTCTGCAAGCAGCCGGTTCGCGCCGTCGTCATCGACGTGGACTTCAACCTGACCTCCCCGAAGATGCTGCGGGCCCACCTGTATTTGAGGAACCCGGAGTGCCTGCTGATCGAGGGCGCCTCCGATCGCCTGCTGCCGGTGGCCAAGGGGGTGAACATCATCGGACCCGGACTCTTCTCCTCCATCCTGGAGGAGGCCAGCGGCCGGGAGCCCATCCTGCTGGGCAAGCCGGGCCGCCAGCTGGGCGAACTGATCGTCGGGCACTACAAGATCGACCGGCCCAGCCGGGTCCTCATGGTCGGCGACATGCTGGCCCAGGACGTGGGCTTCGGCCGCCAGTGCGGCTTCCAAACGCTGCTCGTCCTCTCCGGCGGCTGCACCCGGGAGCAGCTCCTGGCCGAGACGGATCCGCGCCACATTCCGGACTTCTATGCGGACAGCATGGCCGATGTGGCCCAAATCCTTGGTGGGGGACCCAGGTCGCATGTCTAGTCGTTCACCGCCACAATTATTGCTATCCTTATAACACCGTATTTTATTCGTTACCTGAAATATAACTCACTCTAACAAACCACACTAGAATATTTACTAATTGGGAATTCTCGGAAATGGATTTTTAGGATATATATATATCAGATACATATCATGGTTTTTGAATTATCATTGAAAAACTTAAAATTTAAACATTATTAAAAATTATTTCAAAACAATGCTATTGAAAAATCTAGTTCCTAGAATTAATGTTAATAAAATATTTTTTATTGGTTGCAATGTTTAACTTGCAACATCTATTTTCTACATAATAGATTCCAAGAAACCTCGGAGAAGTATCTTTGGCTAAAAATTGTTAGCTTTCTGAAGGTTTATTTTGAAATTTACCCTTAATGATCCGAATTAAACGAACGCCTAATTATTCAGAAGTGGAGGAACGTAGCATACGGACAACAAAGTAATTTAAAAACAAATGTTGATTTAAACAGTTTAATTCATATATATGAATTTATTTTTTATCTAATAAATTATATTTTACTTTTTTTCATTAGCATTGCTTTTGATAATTATTTTTTCAAATGCTAATGAAAAGCTTACTAAAGTATAGCTACTTTTAGTATTGAAATTTACATATGTAATTACACGTCATCTGAAATAAATGTGCCTCACTCCAGACACTATAATACTTAGAATTTTGGGATTCCCGTATATTCAAGATAAGAAAGATAAACATAGTGATGTATAAAGATAGGTGTATAGTCATCACAATGTGTAACACCGATTTGTATACTATAAAAGTCAAGCGGAATGGACATGCTGACAAATCATCACCGTATTTTATTCGTCGTTTGAAATATAACTCACTATTTGCAAAAAAAAACAAGATTTCTTAGAACTACAGATAGATTGGGTATTCCTATAAATGGAAAAGTAAAACACTTTTTGTCACTGCCTGCTCCCCAACAACCGCAATATACATATATGTGCCGGTAGATTAGTGTATCAAACACTTGAAGGGCTATCAAGTTGAAAGTGCCGAGTAAGAATTACTCGGTTGCGGTTTATCGGGGGCCATCTCGCCCAGGCAATCGACCAGGTAGTCGGGCATCTGGGGATGGCCATCCGGAAGTTGGTGCACGTCCTCCAACTTGGTGCCGCCTGTGAGGACGAGGAGGGTCTGGTAGCCACTGGTGCGGGCGAATCCAATGTCGCTGGCCAGGCTGTCGCCCACGAAGAGCACGCGGCTGGGCGGGATTCCCGGGTGGCGGTCCAGCAGCAGCCTGCGCAGATCCTCTCCCGGCTTGCCCAGAGTGGTGGGCTGACGGCCCACGGATTGGGCCACCACATCGATGAAGGCTCCAGGTCCTGTTTGCAAAGAGAAGGAAAACAAATCGCTATGAGTGACTTCTCCGATTCCCACTTTTTCTGTTTCCCATTTGATTATATTTCGATTTGTCAGATTTCTTTTTTCAAAACTTAGTTTATTGTTTGGTTAATTTTTTTGTAATTTTTGAAATTTTCGAAAAAGGACCTTGCCACTTTTCTGCAAGGTCATTTTTTCAACTTTTTTCACAGAAATCCGATTTCAAAATGACAAACCTCCAAAAGCTTGTAGTTCAACTCTCTAAAAATCTGTATTCAAATCTTGATTTTAAATTTTTGGCCGATGTTTTGTCACTTTTTATGATTTTCGAAAAATGGCTTTGCAGAAAAACTTTTAAGCCCATAACTTTCTTCACTGAAATCCGATTTCAAAGTGGTATACCTCTAAAAACTTGTGGATTAATTCCCTTAAAATCTGCGTTCAAATCTTGGTTTGTAATTTTTGTCAATTATTTTTTCATGTTTTATGATGTAACCCCCTACGAAATTGCTTGCAGAAAAGTGACCTCAAACCTGCACTTTTAACGCCATAACTTTTCCCACAGAAATCCGATTTCGAAGTGGTATGCCTCTGAAAACTTGTGGTTCAATTCCCTAAAAATGAGTTAAAAACTCACCTATAATCTCGCCCTTTCCAAAGGGTATTAGGGCATCTGCAGCTCCGGCCAGGAAAAGGCAGTTGGGATTCTGCAGTTGGACTTGGGCGCGCATCATCTTTGCCGCCGACAGGTTGAAGTCCACATCGATGATGACGGCCTCCACCGAGTCGCCGCCGAAAATGGCCTCGTGGAGATCCTGGAGGCTTGTGATGATCCCGGTCCCGTTCTATTGAGATTCCTTGAGGTCATCAATTAGCTTACGTCTACTTTTTGCTCACCCACTTCTTTGGTCATCCGAAAACCGGCATCCTCAAGGACTTTCTTAAAAGGGGGCGTGGCCAGGCAGTAAATGAGTCCCTGGAAGTTAATGGACTTCAAATGATCGCAGATGGTTTGCGCAGGATGAACGATTTGATGCTGGTAATTAAAAAAGAATGGACAACAATAATAGGCTTATTAACTTTTAGTTAATAAAGTTGCCCAACTTAAAGTCGGTTTCTTTATTACTTGTAAGTCCACTGATACACAAAAATATATTAAAATATGTAGATATTGCCATTATAAATAGCTCCTAAGAAAAATGATATATGTGCCTAGTTTATACGGTAAAAGATCTGTTACGAGATGTGTTTTTTATTTATGATATTTATATATATTTCCTTCTTTACACAATAATAACACTTTTAAACTTGACTTGAGCTTCACTTTATAGGTCACAAATAGTAATACGAAATTTAAAATTTTCATATACAACTTTTTGTATTTCCCATCAAAACTAGATCACTCACCTCATCGATCTTAAGTTGGCCCTGTTTCTCAAACTTCTCGATGTGCTCTTTCACCGAGCTGATGCTGTTGTTGGTCACAAAGGTCACCTGCTTGCCAAGATGGGCCAAATGGGCCAGGGCATCGGCGGAGCCGGGTATAAAATCCCGCAGGGGATACCAAACAACTCCTAAAACGAGAAACGCAAATGGAGATCTCCATAAAGTGAGGCAATGCATCACTCACCATCGCAATCGCAGAAGACCAAATCAAATGAGTCGAAGAACTCATCGCGCTCCTTTTCGCTCATCGTCTTAAGATGTCTGGCCTGGAATAACAATAATTAAATAAAAATTAAACATTTAACATGTCTCAGATATTAGAATATTAAGGAATTTAATTATAATTCTCCAAATCTGTTCTATAATTAAAAATCTAGGTGTGGAAAACGGATCTAAATAACTAAAGATCGGCTTATCCAACCAGATCATGTTACTGATATCTGTTCTTATATTCCGCCTTCCATTCTACCCACCGAACTCATTTCGTGTGATGGAGAAGCGACACAAATCCGGATCAAGAAGAGGGGTTTCTACGGGACTCCTCCGATTGCTCAGCTCAAAGTTCCAGTCCAGCGGTGCGACAACCACATTGCCGGCGACAGATTTGTAACTAAGTCCACCGAGACGAGTGTGCCAATCTGGAAGACCCAGCCGGAGAGAATAGCTGCCTCTGGGGGATGCGATCGGGGATTGCATTACACATTTCAAATTACATTAGACCAGCGACCAGTTTAGCATGCCCTAGTCCGACCTGTTCAGATTGGGGGCGAGGTAAGTGGCTCACACTGCACGGAAAAATAGTCTTGTATGCTTACTAAATCGCTCACAGAACCAACATTCGATTTAAACATTTTTTTATAATTTAAAATTACTTTTTTAGGGCTCCGTATTCATGCTACCGAAATTGCTTTCAAAACCATTTTGTTAGCCAGAGATTTTTTTGAACAGATATTTGTAAATAATGCAATAAATAAATATAAACATACAACAAAAAAAATTTTGAACAAAGGTATTTATTGTATGTTAAATTCGTGCAAAACCATAGGGGAATCTTCTCTATAAAAAACAATGACGGTAAATTCATAACTGTCTGTCTCTGTCTTTGTAGTACCTTCATATGATTGCCTATTTTTCGGATATTTTTTGATATTTTTTTTAAAATTGTATTCCATGAATTTTGATCGTCTGTCCAATAGTACCCTCCTTTTATTGCATTTAATAGATTATTTCTTTACTTTAAACTGCTTCCAGTGACTCTGCTTTGATCATCAATGTTGTTGAAACTTACAGAATGTTAAAAATCGAATAGTAAATTTAACTGAATCTAGCACCATGCTCACTTTTCCAAGAAATTCGTCAGATTTGTGGATCCTACAATCATACAAATGTTTGCTCAAGTGTAGTTACACCTCAGTCGTTCGTAATCCGTGGGGTGGATGAGCTGGCGAGGGGCTGGTGGTCCGGTAAGTGGTGTCTCTGTCAATTGGATGTTGTCCAGCCAAGTCGCTGGGTAGCGTTCCAATTGATTTGCTTTCATCGCCTTTCAATTGAGCTCATTTTATAACATCTCTCGCATCCGGTTTTCATTTTTATTTTTAAAAACTTTAGATAGTCAAAACAAACTTACTTTACTAGTTTGTTTTCTGCCGGTTGGATATTGTACCTTACACATATGTACATATCGAGTGTAAAAATAGAATAGCGATATGCTTAATCATCTGTAGTTCGTTTTAGCCATCCAATAGATAACCCATTGATAAGATTGGTTGAAATCACTGTTAACATTAATGGAGTTAAACCCATTTTTATTTTTTTGTTTTAATTCACATGCAGACCAGCACACAACACAATTCGTTTCTGGCTTAATCTCTATCGTAATCGTAGTTGTTATTGTTATCGTATAAATATGTTTATCAAAACAACAATTCACTATAGGTGTACGTACTGGTAAGTAGCATTTAGAGTTCTACAAAATATTGCGAAATGTGCAATGCTCTCGCTTGGCAATAATCAACAATAAAAACAATGGATTAGAGGGAGAGGATGAACCATATGTCTGAGTTCGCTTTTCGGTTGTGGGTAACATTGTTAGGTACATTGGATTGTTTCTTAGTGTTAGTGTTAGCATATTTAACTTGCACACATTTTGTGGTGTATAATTCGTATTGTTTATGATCCATATCCATCCTGGGTATGTGGAAATATATAGCTACCAACGATTTCGTTTTAAATTATAAATACTCGTTGTTAATGCACTTTGGACGTGTATATAATGTAAAAATATTTGTATATTTGTGTGCTGCTAAAGCGACTTGGCCTCACTGTGATCCTACGGGATGATGATTCAATTCTCTTGGCTCCTTCCGGGAGTTGCGTGAATCTTTTATACAATATACAACATATCCAACTCGATCCGTTTGGAAAATCAAGTAACAATATAAAACCTTATTCGTGTGTGTGTGTATATAAAAATGCAATTGCTTGACCGGGGTTTCGACATCCCCATTCGTTGAGCATTTCCAATGCAAACACAGTACAAAAATCATCTTAAGTACGAAGCATAACTTCCATGCGATAACGATACACAATCCCTAGATATTCGCGTGTCGGTATATACAAAAGTTCACAAGCTAACTATGTGTTACTGGAGAAACCAAGGAATGATCTGATGAACATGCAGCTCCCGTTCGCCGATCCTTACACAAAGGACGTGGCGTCATTGTTCCTGCGGGTCAAGGTCTCACTTTGGGGCTGGCGCGGCCCACTATCCGCCTTCGACAGACCGCCCACTTCCGTCTGCGCCATCTTCATGGCGTGCTGCTTCTCGTACTCGATGATGTGCTCCCGCAGCAGGAAGTTCTCCCGCTTGATGCGCTTCAGCAGGCGTCCCGACACATCCGGAACCGCCCAGCGCAGGATGCCCTGCAGCATGGTGATGATGTTCTGCGGGGCAAGCAAAGTCAAATATCAGATGTTATAAGCAATACATTTCATTAGAATAATTATTATTTATTAGAAATAATTCATTTTTAAAGAAATGTTTGAATAAAAACCGGAATAAACCATAGTTTATAACACATTAAAATATTTGATCGCAGCTTGACCTGTTTTGATTATTTGCTTGTAGCTTGATCTGTTTCGATTTTTACGGAGCATAATCTTTTGCTATTTTTTTTTTAACTGATCTGATCTGATTTTTTTTTATATCTAAAAATTTTTTTTTAATCGAACATGATCCAATGATTGTCTCAACTTGTGAGCAAAAACAAAATAAATAAAAATGCTTCAAATGTATTTGGAAGTTCTGTGGAAATGCAATCCTATTCTCAATAAAACTACTACTACGCGTTGATTATTACTTATAAATAGTTTTAGTTTTTTGGTAACCAATTAAGGGATTAACCCACCTGGTAGATGACGATGAAGGCCAGCCGACCCGTCAGTATCTTCCAATAAATCATGGGGCGTTTGTAGGGATGGGGATCTGTCGGCGGGTTCCGGAACTCTGTGTAGCGGCACACCGTCTCGTTCCCATGCTGACTGCCCCCCAGCAGCGGCTGCACCTGGAAGTCCTCGGTGTTGAACACAGCCAGCGTGAAGTTCAGGTAGTTGTTCAGCTCGTGATCGCCCATTGAGGCGGCATACACGATTTTGGGTATGAGGTTAGTGCTAAATGCAATTATCATTGCCTGCAGGGCACAAATTGGAATTAGAAAACAAACATCGTCGATACAATTCCACATTCACTTACACTCGAGGCCACGGCTATCCGGGTGACGACGGTCATGATGCTGTGCCAAACTCCAATGTCGCGGGCTCGCATTCCCACTGGCCGTCGCAGGAAGCGCAGCATCTTGATGGCGTCCAGGCGCACCTCCAGCACATTGTTCAGCAGGGCCAGCAGCGGCGCCAATGGGAAGGCCAAACTGAACAGGGTGATGAAGCCGAATTGCACAACTGCGGGGAAAAATAATTATTAAATTTAGAATAGCTTCTTATTAGTAATATAGTTAATTGTTTGGGGGTTTGGGATAAACAATTAAGTTAACAGTTCAATTAAATTAAATAGTACTTAAATGGCTTGCTAAATCAGAGGTTGCAATAAAATAGAACACAAATTTATAGTATAATGATAATATAACACTATAAACTCTGGGCAGTGCACCTGCCGATTTCTCAATGTAATGTTAAGATTCCATTTGGCAATCTTTCAAAGAAACATGAACTCAAATTATTTTGCAAGACAAATTCGCGCTTTTCAATTCGATGCTTAGTTTCTGCTTCAGCCTCCATTAATGTTGTAAATTATGGGTGTATCAAACATTTCCGCTCTGACCAGATAAAAATGATAGGTTCAACGGTGTCTTACCCATTTCGAGGTATTCCACGTAGAGCGAATTATTCTCGGCGGGCAGTAGATTATAGTCCTCGGTGAACTGGTTGTAGGGCACCAGGCGCTGGTCCTGGTGGCTCTTGTACCAGCCGTGGCGGTAGCTAAGCTCCTTGATGGTGCGCTTCAGGTAGGGGATGAGCATCTCCACGATGGCGTTGACCGCCTGCTTGCCGGCCATGATGATCACCAGTTGCATGCAGAGCTCCATAAGGCAGCCGCCAGGATTGCACTCCTCCTGGCGAAAGCCCAGCACGCGATTGTATTTGGCTGGATAGCCGACGAACTTGCCCTTGAGAAAGGCGATGTAGAAGAGCGAAGAGTAGTAATTGACGAACTGGAACACATAGTTTTTGATAGTTAGGCTCTCGTCGTACTCCGTCTGGGTGCGACAGTACTCGTAGTTGGTAAGCTTCACTGCCAGGCTTGAGTAGACCATGTCCAGCAGCGAGATCACCATGAGATCTATGATGCCCGCCGTCATGGGCAGGATCATCACCTTAAATGTCATGGAATTCTCGCTGCCCAGAATGCTGTGCGAGGCTCGCTGTGCCATTCTGTATATGATTATTCCCGCTATCGCAATGACTGATATGCAAATCTATCGAAAAACATGAAAATTAGTCTCTACTTCAACCGAAACTGAGAGTATACTTACAAACAATACCATGATGCTATAACTAGTGAAGTTGGGCAGGAACTTGGTACTCCAGAAGGGCACATCCGGATCCAAGGTGGTCCGCTTTCCAGTCTGGTCCTGCTCATATGCCTTGCCGGCCAGCCTTCTGGAGCGCGATATTTTGGCCAAGTATTGCGGACGCGGGTGCTCCACGTGGTGGGTAAAGCCAGTCAGTCCCCAACGGTGCACCAGTCCCGCCGAGTAGCGCTTCCAGAACTCAAGGTACACCACAGCCCAAATGGCCATCGACAGGGCGAACACCACCGTCATGTTGTTGTCTATCAGATAGTTGAACTTGGAGGAAGTACACGTCTCGTTCAGCCGCCAATAGTCACAGCTGCGGTCGCACTGCGGACACATGATCGTCCCGTTGTCGTCGCAGATGTCCCGGCTAATCGGATCGCTGCCCCACGTAATGAATCCGTACAGGAAACAGAGTAGGCCGAAAATGCTAATGGGGATCAGCATTTGGGTGTAGAAGCCCAGCCAAGCGAAGTATAGCGCCACCTTCGCACCAAAGTAGTCTTTAATTTGGTCCAGTGGTTGCAGGCTGAAAATGTATGGGTTATTCAAATTAATTTGTTTATTTTGTCATCAATTCTTGGTCTAACATATCCTCAAAATAAGCTTTATGGATTCCTTTCGCTCTTCCTTCAAGTTAAATCAATCTAAATTAGTTCTAAAATGTTACAGGCTGTTTTATTTCTAGTTACCATATTCCATCTTTTTGGGGCTTTTTCATTCGCCAAAAATTGCCATCCGGCAAAAAAAAGGTTTCAAATGCATATTATGCGCCCAAAGAAACTGTTTAAACTAACTCTTTGTTATTTAATATAACTTATATTCCAATAGAGCTGATCTCGGCAAATTAACATATTTAAGAATTTAAGAAGTTATTAAAAAATTTGATAAATTATCAGGGCAAGCAACTATGTATACCCACTAATACATTTATTTTAACATCCTAGAATTAATTCATTTCGCCTTTTTAGTTTATAACTGGATCAGACGAGTTAATCATGTATGACACCCAGGGTCTTTCCCCAATCTTTTTCTTAATATTACTTGCAGCTGCAAAAATTGTTTTTCTAAATTCAAACTTGCTGCTAAACCAATTTTTCAAAGCTGCGGTTTCGCAAGCTGCCTTTCCGAGAATTTGCGATACGAATAATTCCTATGATAATTCCTACGAAATGAGTAATTTTCTTACTTCTTCCACTTGGATATGTTGGCCCACTCCTTGAGCAGACGATCGCGATCGTCTTTCTGCAATAAATCGATAAGAGTTTATAAATAAGATAAGTAGATATGGTAGATATGCACTTACATCGTGCAGGGTGTAGGCGCAGGTATAGACGCCATCCTGGACGAGCTTCTCGATGCCCAGATTGTCAGCCGTCTCCTCGCCCTCGACGAAGTGCTGGCGCTGCAGAATGAAGTTGATGATGGAGTAGCGGGTGCCGGCGTCGAGGAAGTTCGGGTGCTCCGTGTCGTACAGTTCCAGGTAGTTGCGGGAGAACTCGAGGTGGATGCGCGGTTCGCGTTCCGGGAAGAGGGCCGTATTGAGTTGCACCGAACTGAAGAGGCTGCGGCACATGCGACTGAGGCATGTCTTAAACTCGTGCGCCGACTCGGCGAAGATTTGGTCCTGACCCGGAATGGGCTTGAGCGGCACCTTTATCTTGAGTATTTCCGCATAGCGATACAACACCTCGTCCGGCGCATGGATCTTGATGAAGTGCACCCGCTGCACCTTGTTGTGCTCCAGCTGCAGGCCCTCCCGCTGCAGATTCGCCTCGAAGATCTCGCACTTGCGCCTGTGCTCCTCCAGCTGGTCCTCGCCATTGTACGCCAGCACGAAGTCCACGCTCCGTTTGCCATCGTCGAAGCGCCGGTACGTCTGCAGATCCGGAGATCGGTGGGGAGAGAACGATAGAGGAAAGAGCATTAGTATCGGACTGGTGTGAGTCACTCGGTGGGTATCTTAAAAATACATTTGCTTATTATCTACACGGAAACAAAGCGTGTGGGTGCGTGTGCCTACACTCCCCCCAGATCACTAGGTGACCCTAGGATCACCCTATCACCGTGGCGGACTCCTCCTCCCGCTTATCTCCGAAGCGCAGTCCGAGCAGGAGGCAGCAGTTCAGCATCTTGGACAGATGGGTGGTTGGATAGATGGATGGATGAGAGCGACACCAACACAACCGACGAGGCCGAGAGGCAATTGTGATTTGGTGCCCGATCTGGAACCGACCGCTCTGCAGGCGCTGATTTCTCAGCTGTTCTGGCTTCGATCAGCTCCAAAGTGCCTGACTTAAATATTATATTACAATATACAAAATTCACATAAAGTGTTCATACCCAATCCCGCAAGCAAACTATATGAAATAGAGAAATATAAACAAACAAAGGAGAGCGTGAAAGAAGGCAGCAAGAACGTTATCAAGTGCAGAATATTGCTACAGCAGCATTTGAATCATATACGTGACGAGTGTGTGCGTTTGTGTGTACAGTGGTCGCTCGATAGCTCGAAACCTTATAATTTTCCATTCAAGGACTATGGTTTTAATGCTACTCTGTTTAAACTTTCTTATTCATATCGCAAAACAATCTCTAAGTTTCTTTTAAATTTATCTGTTGAAAATATATGAAAATCAAATTATATCATATCATTACTCAATTATTATTAAGGACCAATTATTTTACTAGTATACTTTTTGTATTTAATATGTTGCGTATATGAGGCAATATAAGCATTTTTAGGGGCCCTGTGTTATCTCTAAATTTAGAAAATTAAACTGAGAACAAATATCTAATATTAACATCCTATGCGATCTTTGTTCAATAAGAAGTGAGTTGTATTTTTGTACATTTATAACAGAAAAGATTGTTAAGTATTTTGTTTAGTGTATCGGTACTTAAATTTGAATGATTTATATTTCATATATGTAAAATATCTAAAATACGTGAGTACATATATACATTTCATATACTTGCTCTAATATACGTATGTCTGTATATTAGAACACACACATTTATGGAATATATTTCAAAACTCATAACACTTAATTTAAAAACCACTTGGTACAGCAACAATCTATTCAGTTTAGGAATACTTTTAAATTTATTTTTTGTTAAAGAAGGAACACTCAAATATAAGATTATACGAGCTCTGGTTCTATCAATATATATATCTATTATATAAAGCCGTAAATAACAATGTGTAACTTAAAACCTACAAGTGTGGAGTGACAAGAGTAATCTTAAGTACAGCCCACTTGAGCCTGACCAAATATATAGTTCCCACACTGCACAAAAAGGCTCCCTCTCAGGCAAACAGATGTGGTCTCTGCGTAGACCATAGATAATTTCATGTTAGTTGCGTAAGCGAAGACTTAGAAAAATAAAGTCAGTTTTACTAGAGAACTCAAACGTGAAGGTTGTTTTCCTTATTACAGGAATCTCTCACATTTTAACAAAAAAAAACATGGTTTTAATATTATAGGCAATGACTTTGTTCTAGTGCTATAGTGTAATAAATCTTCTATGCTATATCTTTGTGTCCTTACCTACATGTTGCTAGTACTGAACTCTTCTAACTATATATCAAGTTGGTAAGACAATTTCTACACAGGAAATTAGATATAAATTATAAAAACTGAATTACAAGGAAATGAAATATGGAAGGATTCGAGGTTGGAGCGACCACTGCAACACTGACAATAGAGATTTGAGTGCGAAAGCTTGTGCATTGGAGCACTGGCAATGGAAAGTGAAAGTGGGTGTGAAGAAATGGGGTGAAATGACAGAACAACAACCGCAAGGCAAACATGAAAGTGAGATCGATGTGGGTGCGAAAGATGAAGACATCGGCGGCAGTGCAAAAGCAAAGGCTCTTAACCGAAGCAGTTTTTTGGTTTGTTTTCTTTTGGTTTTTGATGCTTTAATATCGTTGTGGAACGAACGTATTTGAATTTGAATTGGATCGTATGTTACTGTCGTTGTTTACCCTTGATTTCCACTGGGAGTATGTTATTGGCAATTTCTTATCTTTATTAGAAATGTTGCTACTACTTCTTAACAGACGTCTAGAGACCTCATCGTCACCACCGCCAGCTCCTACTCCAGCTCCATCGCCGGCCACACCGATGCCAGTGGGCAGGTGGCCGCGTCCGTTCTGCAGGGCAATTATCTGGGCGGCGATCGCGGCGTCCGTGTGGTCCCCACCACCACCGCCACCTCCATTGAGGTGCTCCAGCGCCGTCGACTGGCGGTATCCGGGCTGCCAGGCGAGCGCCGCATGCTCGGCATTGAATCCGCTGCCCAGGCGCAGGCTGCTCCGACCCTCGTCGCCGGCCAGGTCCACTGCCGAGTGGTAGATGGTGTTCCGCGACTGCGAGATCGACTTGCGGTGCGCCGCCGCTGCTGCAGCCGCCTCCGAATCCGCCAGCGATATGGTGTCGAAGTACAGGCTCTCCCGCTCGTCCATTTCCGATTCGGGATAGTCGTAGTCGTGGGTGCGGACTGCAACGAAGGGCAGGTTGGGATTAGTCGGAAGTTCTGGGACTCTTATTACAACTAGATGGGTGCTGAGATGGTATGAGATGAGCTGAGAGGTGAGGCGGTGGTGGTGATGAGTTAGTGGTTACGTCTCCACACTCAAATTACAATACAAAGTGCATGATTACGATTCAAGTTTATTAATGTGAGCTTGTTTACGGATTAACAGCTTGTTTACCAATTTATTTCGCGTAAAAATGTAAAATGCTTCTTGATACCAATAGTTATCTGACCGATCTTTTCAATTTTTGTTTTCCTTCGTTTAGTTGCACTTTTTGGAGAAAATGCTTAATTTACATATTATTTTAATTTTCTTTAAAGAACATACCTATAACCTTTATACGACTTGTTTAAAAAACAAATGCATTCGTGAACTACAAATTAAATGACTCTACCATTAAATTTAACTTCTTAAAAAAGCTAATTTACCTAATCCCCTTAATGACGAACATCCAAATGGGTGAGATGACCAACGCTCATGATTAACATGATCTTTTTTATATTCTTATACATAAAAATCCTAGATTTAATGTGCAGTAATTCCCGACATAAAGTGTTTTAGTGACCTTTATTAATAAGAAATGTTATTTAATATTTGTGGTAGAGAGAGCACTGCATAGCTGAAATTTCCTATTAGCAAATCACTCCGAAACAATCCAATTAAATGGCATTTTTACCAAAACTTAGAATACAAAACTATCTTTAAGGATTGAAAGAATTTCGGTCTTTTTACCTTCTTTTATGTGTGGTTAATATAAAATTATTACAAAATAAGTTATATATTGTGTTGATGTTATGATAATCTTCAAAACATGATATCGGAAAAAACTAACGTTAGAAAACCAAATTAGGATGCGGTTGTCTATACGAACATAGATTGTGGCACGGTGTTACTAATGGAGATTAAGGGCGGAACTCGAATGGAAATAAATTTGCGTGCCGATTGGGTGTATCAGTCCACCTAATATTAATTACCGATAAGCTTAGAAGGCCCGATAGTGAGTCTGTGGCCATGATAGTGGGGATGATGGTATTTGATGGCCCAATTTGGAAGCCGACTTTATCGGAGGCCAGCTGTCGCTGATACCAACCGCCTGACTCATTTAAATTCGGTCAATTACATAAGTGCCCCACAGCGTTATGTACCCATGAACAAATGCGTGTGAGAGTTTCGATGAATGTATTAGATGAATGGATGGATGGATGGGGTGCTACTGCTGATGATCAGTTTCCGGCGCAAACTAGGGATGGTATGGTGCTTTTTCGAACTAAACACGGACAAACAAAACCAAATGAAGCTTGCGCCAATTCCAAACAATGCCTTGTCCAAAGATCGAAGTGATATCGGACTGATCTTGGATACAGCGAAATGAAACAAGTTGGGCGATCGAAATACATACAAGTCAAGAACAAAAAAACAAATTTGCATGACAACGGGTGCGATGTTGGAATTGTTGTTTAGTTGTTTACTCATTAAATTATTTACCCGCCGAATACATGCTTGGTGGCAGAGGAAGAGCGAGGTGAATGTCTTAGCGGCAGTTTATTTTATTATTTTTTTTTTTTTGTTTGGAAGTCGATTGCGATCCTCAAGCGTGCTGGCATTAGCGATCCTGCTGAACCTTCGTCGTATCGAGTCCTGGCGATAGTGGCTCCTTTGGAAGAACTTTCGGCACTTTCTGGGCGGCTGCGCAGCGGCGCCGGATCCCACGCATAACGATCAAGGATGGCGATTAGCGAAGAGAGTGCAGTTGATGCAAAAAAAACTCGTGGCTCCACAAAAAAAAAAAAAAAAAAACCCAAATGAAACTGAAATTGAAACTAAAACCGAAGCACACACAGAGATTCACCCGCGTTCTACTGCGCGAATGATGTCAGAGGGAAAAATAAATGTAGAGCCAGAGAGAAGAAATGCGTACGCTCGCGTTGTTTGCCGATTACTGAAAACAGAGTACGAAAAGAATAATAGAGGCTGAAATACACAAATTTGGTTCGGGCTTGCCAGCCGGCTAACCAACCAGCGGTAGCAGCAACAACAATAAACTGATTGCCCAAATAGGCGTGCAGCAAGTTGTGACGTCGCACAGTGTCTAGATATTGTTAATTTTAAAGCACCTTTTATGATCACCTTCGATCATATATTTGTAAAGAATAAATACATCTTTTATTATTTGATTTATAATAAAAAATTGTTTCAAAAATTGTAACAGAAAAATGCCAGGAAGAAAAGGTATAAACAACTGAATGTCATACAGAAAATGTATTAAGGAAAATACAAAAATACTTCTAAAATTTCAAATCGATCGGATCATTGATTTCGGTGTAGGGACGTGGAGTTGAGCTATTTAAGCCTGACGAGTTTTATTTCGAAATTTTTTGTTTACCATAGATACTCATTTAGAAAGTTATGAAATACGATTTTCTTCTTTTAGACATTTTTTTTTTTTATGGAAAACAAAATTTATATTCTATCGCTTTAAAATTGAATACATACATATATTTTTTTAATTTTAGCATACATTTTTTTCATTAGTTATGATGCCCACCGAATGATGGAATTCCGAACGTTGCCCTAAGGCCCACTGTTGCCATATGAAGATTAATACTGAAAAGTGGCACCCATACGAGTAGAATGCTTTGCGAGCAAACAATTTTTTTCCTCATCTTTAAAAAAAAACCTAAACAGTCGATTGTTTTTTCAGTATGCGTAAATGCATGATTCGTCACCTGTATATATGTTATACACAGATTTAAATGCACAGCAATCATATTTTCCTTCAATTTTGTTACACCAGTCGACAAAAGTATATTTTTATAATTTAAAAAGTCGACAAAAGAATTTTAATTAATTTAAAAATTCCATAAAAGTTTTTTTTTATAATATAAAGATCGATATTTTTTGTGAAAAACACAGTTGACTACAAGATGTTAAATACAGTAAAGTAAAATATTTTTGTTTAGTCAACCACTAAGATGACGTATATTTACTAAGAATCAACTATAATAAATAATAATAATAAAACTTTCAAAAATTAGATAATTAAATTAAATATTATAATATATAAATATAAATATTATTATTAATACTTTAAATAATGTTCTTAGTGTTAGAATTATTTTAAATTCAGACTAAAGCACAGAGAAAAGAATATATATGCAGTACGATTTATGATTGATGTCAACTAGCTTGACCTTTCCGAAAATTCTTTTTTTCCTACAGTATTTATTTTTTTAATAAGAGAAACTCAATTTAACCAATTGTTATATAATTTGGTTAACTATAATAAGAAATCTTATTAATATAAGCTCAAATTATATTTTTTTAATTTTTAAGACATAATTCTTATTTTATTTTATTGTATGTGACTCAAATATTCATCAACCCAATTTTAAAAAAGAGTTGCTAAGGTGCGGCAGAGCTCAAAAATAAATTAAACAAAGAGTATACATCATTTAGGATACAAAAGCCCATACATTATATGATAAGTATATCTTTGAAAATTTATTTGTTTTTCAGCCATTGATAGATTATACGAAAGACCAGTTCCTTTGGTAGCAGTTTGCCATATTATCTTGGCCATAAATACGGAAACTACTTGGGTAGCGTTATATACCTGGGGCCATATTACTATGGATAGACATCGGGTAAAATAACCGAAATCCCTGGATGCACACGGGCTTTTTAGGGGGGATGAATGGGAGAAAGGGTTAACATGTTGGCGGCAAAGGTAAAGGTCAAGCCGCCTCGTAGATTGTTGACAAATCAAAGTGCGAAAAGAATTCGTATTTGTCTATCGGAACGAAACCCGTTTTCGTAGACATGGAACCATGGAACACACCCGAAGTCAGAGGAACTAGTCCAAGACACGCGAGAATGGATGGGGGAATGGAGAAATTCGGTGGAGAATGGTTGTTCTAAATTCTTGAGCCGATGTCGATGATGATGATTATGATGATGCACTGCACCTTCATTTCTGTCTATGTGGACATTTCTATTTTTAGCAGACTGCAGTGGCCGAAAATAAACGGAAGGTCTGCCTCTGTCGTTGGAATACATTGAAAGCTTAGAATTAGAGAGTTAGCAACAAGGCGTTAGTATTAGCCACCGTGATAATGCCCATCCATTTTGGGTCTCCACCCGGACTCACCTGCTCTATTGTTGTCGTTGGCTTTAGTTAGTGTTCACCGTAGTTGACGACCAAGGCCATTTCCACTCTATAATGTCCTATATATATGGTGTTCTGGTCCTGGCACACACCGCTCGTTTCTCACAGCCCACAAATAACCGACAATTAATGTCCCAGCAATACTTGTTTTCATTAATTTACACAAAAAAAGAAACCCAAACACCTCGGATCTCCGGCCA